ATATGGGAAAGCGGAGAGGTACCTCAGGACTTTTGCAACGCGAATATAGTGAATATATTTAAGAACAAAGGAAGTGCATCAGACTGCGGAAATTACCGGGGAATTTCACTATTGGCTATCGGAGGAAAAATTCTTACAAAAATTATGTCAAATCGCCTTCATCCACATATAGAAAAAATCCTTCCAGAATCGCAAACGGGTTTTCGCACCAACCGTGGCACCTTCGATTCCATATTTTCCATCCGCCAACTACAGGAAAAAAGAGCAGCAGTCTAAACTTTATGTTGCATTCATCGGTCTAACAAAAGCATTCGACTCTGTGAACAGAGATGCACTTTGGGCAATTATGAAAAAGTTCGGAGTACCCAACAAATTTCTTACAGTGTGTAAAATCCTCCATAACAACAACTAGTCAAGAGTGTCACATCATGGATCACTGAGCGATCCCTTCCTGACAAATACAGGACTTAGGCAGGGATGTGTCTTAGCACCTCTCCTATTCAACATATTCATGGCACCGCTATCCATTATAGTGGACAGTAAACTGCAGGAGAAAGGATTGGGCATTAGATACAGATATGACGACGGTCTGTTCAACATAAAAAGACTGAGTGCAAAAACACGTACAAAATTCATCACAGAACTTCAATACGCTGATGACTGTGCTCTAGTTGCAAACACGTTACAACAATTACAAGAAACAACACATATACCTGGGCATACGAGGCTTTGGGTCTTAAGCTAAACATCGACAAAACCAAAATCATGTGCACTCCACCGGAAGATCATAACAATGCTATAAAAATCGGAGAAGAACTATTGGCAAATTACCTCGGCAGTTTGATTTCGGAAAAGGCCAATATCGACTCTGAAATTCAGCACAGGATTAGCAGCGCTTCAAGAGCATTCTGGAAATTAAAAGACAGGGTTTCTACAATCATGACTTGAGTACAAAAACGACTTGTCGAATACTCATCAGCGAGTAATGGCAGTATATATATAAGAGATATAACAAAAATTGGCGTATTTAGTAGATTGACCTAATTTTAACTCTCACGGCGTCTGATACAACTTAAACATATTAATTAACCTATTTTTAATTAATCAATATAACTATTACGTAGTAACTTCAAAACAGAAAACTTACAAGTAAAACAGCATTTTGACTTATTAGGTAGTTTTCAAAGTGAGAATTAATAATTTATATATAGAAAGCATGATTAAACCATTTTATTTTACAATTCAATATTAAAATTATACAAGTGAAATAACTTTAACAAAATTGTTCAACAAAATTTCTAATATTTCTACAATTATTACGTTTAATGTAAATTTGTTAAACAAGTTTATTTTGCATTTTAGAGGAAAATTAGGTTATATAAAATAAACTATTTATTTTGGTAAATTATTCCTATGTTTTAGTCCCTCAATTGAATTGTCATTTGGGCATAACAATAATGTGACATTTTTATTAATTTGTGTTTAATTTTACGCTCGATATATTACAAATATTTATTATTTTATCTATTACTCGGTTCATTATGAGTGATCTGTTAAATTAAAATAAAAATTATATAATTTATATAATATTAGTTATACATATTAAATAATATGTATAGGTGATTATCCTGGGTACTACAAATTCGGGGTTCGAGTACTGGTATCTCGGAAACCGTAATAGATATACCGTGCTGGCAACTGTTACTTTTGGGTCGGCATTTACATGTGTGGAAGTAAATCGCATAGTCGTAATCGCATAGTAGTAATACTGTCTACAAAGAAAATACAGCAGAAATATTAACAAAGTTCTTGAAAAAACTACAATCTATTATTTCTAATAGATTTCGAGATACCGATTTTTGAATTCAGAGTTCTAATAGCGCGACCACTATCGAACTCCCACTCAATTCCACTTATTTTTACCAAAAATGCAAGTGTTTCTAGCTTGCACTTAAAAAAATTCAAGCTACAGGGAAAATTACAACGACTCGTTAATAAATAAACAAATTAAGTATCACGAGACGTAATTAAATCGTGAAGCTGAACGCATGACGTACATCTTTCCCTAGAACTTTAAGTAATGACAGAGGTATTGATTGGGTCGACCCATGGTACAAAGAATACAAGGTATGATCGATAGCGGCTCCAATTTCGTTCAGTTCGCGCATACCACCTGTGACGTCACTAGGAAAATAATGAATAAATAAAAAATAAAGAAAGTTGACAGGAGATCTGCATTTTTTGGGGTTATGGTTAAGAATTGTTTATTTTTAAGACTTTTTAGTTCGTTTAATTTAATAATTACTAAAACCAGCAGTTCCAAAAATATATTTAAAAATAATAATTATATATTAACATGGATTTGGACGACAGGTAAGAATACTAAATTTATTTCTATATTCGGTATAAAATTGTTTATTAGGTTTTTAGTTTGCGATGTTTATGGTAAATAATTTTCATTTTCATTGCCTCTGAATTCACATGAGGACAGAGTTGAGGATATCTATGGAAAAGTAACCACAAGAGGAATTGTTACATCATTTAAAAAATGTTGGGAAGTTTATTGTTTCCCATCGAAAAGTAGAAAATGCCAATGCAGATGAACGTATTGTAATTGTGATAGAAGTAATTCTAAGGGTGAAGTTTATTATAATTAGTGGAAGTAATACCAAGGGTGAAGTTTATTATAATTAGTGACCTGTGCTTCTTTTTATATGTAGATGTTTCTGGTTTTGAGAATAAATCGGTTGAACGACACCCAAAATTTAAAGGAAGTATTTGCATACCCAGAATATGCCCATCAAGGATTATATAGCTCAAATTTCCTTTAATGGTAGGCAATTATTCAATGCAAATTAACTTTTTAAGTGACTGAAATATTAAATAGTTTACAATATGGTATATCACTAAAAATATATTACTTTTAGGTACAATTAGGGCCCGATACATTTCAAAAAGTAGAATATTATTTTATATTAAATGAGGTATTGTACTAACAATCAATTTATATTAATAACGGAGATTAAAAAATAACAGAATAAATAGTTCTTTTTTTATACTACAAAAATAAACTATAGAATACAGCAGTATTTAAAAAAATAAATAAAAAGTTATGTCCCGGCCGAGATTCGAACTCCGGTCTCTCGTTTCCTAGCCCGACTCCTTACGCACTGCTCCACAGTAACTTGCTTAGCGATAATTCAATGACGGTATATAAACAAAAAAACAGGTTTATAACAATATCTTGACGATTTGAACTGGCGCGCGGAGCGTGCTGACCAATAGCGCCTGTTATCACCTGTGACGTAGCGACCAACCTGCGCAATATCATACCTTGTATTCTTTGTACCATGGGGTCGACCGGTCAGCTGCGACAAATCTGCTATGGTAGATCGGGACCCCTTCCACGTCTCTTAGCGATGTGCACAGTTTCTCGGTTTATTTCATACGTTTGGCAACGTGTTTACTGTCTTCTCTTTGTTCAGTACATTATAAACGCATTGTACTCTTCTTACATACGGAAATCTCGACCCAAGACTAACCTTTGCCAGCCCTTAGTATAAGTTTGGTTGTGTGTATATGAACACAACGAGATATAATTAAAATATGCAATTGCAACAATTGAGCTTTATTTATTAAATCTTTTTACTCGGGGTTAAAAACCGACACATAATGGAAGTCGCTCGGGACAAAACGAAATTAAACGAGATAACCAAACATCACTCTCCCAAACTTTGGCTTGCAGTGCGATTAGTGTAGAGCCCGTTTTATACTTAATACCTCAACGTAGTGTAAAGCTCCGCGCGCACTGAAGGGGTATCGGCGCGAGCGAGCGTTACGTAATTTTCTGTTTACGTTGAAATAAATGTAAGCCCGCGCACCGCATTAGATCGGTGCGATCGGTGCGCTTCGAGCTATCGGCGGTACTCGCGCCATCAGGCGAAATCAGAGAATGCATGGGAGGGGGACGAATGTAGACTATTCGTTCCAAACCAAACCAAACCGAGCGACTGTTTTAGTGGAGCGGTTTTACATTAAACATGTCCGATGAATTATTAATCGAAAGTGTACGAGACCATATCATACTTAATATGCGGTTTTTTATAAAAATTTCTTACAAGCACGTAACCTATATTGTTTACTACATTTATTCAATAACTGAATTACAAAACCTTCCGATTAAACCCATTTATTTCTCATCTCGTTTTGATTATCTCACATTATTATGGAAATCGAATTTAAATATCGTCAAAAAACTTATCATATTATTTAATTTTTGGTTTGTTTTGACGTTAGCAATAACAGCTGATAAATAGTCATCCTATGTTACTATGTTGATCGCTCCGTATAAGGTACAAATAGAGAAAATAATATTTATGTTTGAATAAAATATTTGTACATATATCTACCGTATGATAGAAAAAACGGCGTCCAGTTGGATGGGAAATGACGATTGATGACATTTCCTATATATATAAATTTACATTTAAAATGGCACCGACCTTCATTTCATGGCCATCGATGATGCCGTTCCTTTTCGATAATACGGTACTAAAAAACTATTTATATTTTTTCTTTTTTCAATTTTCTTTGACTTTTTTTTATTATATTTTAAGTTTTTAAAATCTTGGTTTTAAAACGTAGAAAATTATTTATACGTATATTATAGATTCTGAAGAAGACCGAATTAAAATTGGTCGAAACGTCAATCATTAAACAAAATGTAAACACAAGTTTCGTTTTATTTACTACTAACTTAAAACAAAGATTACCCTTTTGAATGATACCAAATTTGTTAAAATCGGTTAAGCTAAGGGTCATGGAGTATATTTTATCCCCATCAATTTCTTTCTATTTCAATCCCACTCTATTTCACTAATTTTATGTGGTTTGTTAAGATCTAAATATATTAATGTGTATTTGGTTAAGATCTAAATAATATTAATTTCCCTCATAAAAGTATAAAAATAAGCATACAATATAAAAAGTTGCATAAAAATATAAAAAGTAATAATACTTTATAATTTTTTGAAATGCCGAATGAAGTTGACTAAATTTGAATAAACTTCTCCTCGTCTATGCTCAAAGTTATGCTGGTGACGTACTCTCGACCGTCGATCGTGCGACTCCAGTGCGCGGCTACAATCGACTTTCCGACCGGTCATGTCGGTCGCGCCGCTCGCTCGCGCCGATGCCCCTTCAATGCGCGCGGAGCTTAACAGAAATTGAACGTATATGACGGTAAATCTTTCTAAACTACAATATATATATATATATATATATAAAAAACTAAATACCCGAACTGGAATTAGCGGGGTACAAACACAGCCCTTATACATCGAACGTCGTTACATATTTTATAAACGCATAAATGCTTCTCGTTATTGTCGTACTATAAAATTTACTCACAGAGAAATCATACCGCCATTACACCGGCACTTAGCGCAAACGTAAGCCAAGCTATGACGAACTCTCTGACGTTTGTCGTTCGAGATGCGCTCGCTGAGTCGTCGCTCCCCGCTACGTGATTGCTTCTTATAGAAGAGTGAGTACCTTTTCGAGGCGGCTCACTGCTAGAGGGAACTATGGAGCGGCTTTTCTCTAGTACGCTGTTAGAAAATTCTTCTTCTTGATCCCGTTCGGCGGAACCTAACTGGTCGTTGTAGTCCTCTTCGTCAGGCGAGAGATCGCTGTAAATTCGGGTCGGGCCTGGTATTTCTGTAAAGATAAAATTATAGTTAGGCAGTACTACTACCAATAATAAAACTATTTTAAAATATGCTTGCTTCATCCACGTTACCGTAGATGGAGCTAAGAAGGCTTAGGTAGGGTATATATAAATCAGAGAATAGGTACATTAAAGAAATGCTAACTTCATGTTAAAAAATGGAAACAGACGCCACCTGGTGTCGCCTGGCAGTACTAGCTAAATTGAGGGGAATTGGAGGGGCGGGGCTTAAAAGAGGGGAAATTTAAAAAAAAATATTTTTATAAGTATCACTGACTTACTATTTAAAGTTAATAAACATATTTTTTATTACTTTAATATAATTTAATGTATTAAAAAATATGTCTATTAACTTTACACAGCAAATCAATGATATTATTAAAGACTTATTATTTTCAGAGAAAATTCATAGTAAATAAATTACACATTAGTAAACAATATCATTTATTTTTTAGAGCTGCGATTTATATTACAATAATATTGAAATATATATATATTTTTTTTAACAATGAAAAAGAATATCCGGGAACCTGAAAAAGAAAGATGAAAAATTAATGACTTAAATTAGTTCAAAATACATTTTGCAAATAACTAGTGAATTGGAAAGATAAACATACTATTAAAAAGACATTTTAGTAGTATGTTATCATCTATTTACTGATAATACATTACATAAGTATATAATAGGTAAATAACATGCATAAGGCACTATGATACAACTACCTGTATCATGATAACACACTAATATGACAAAAAATATATGCTAATTTAAATTCCTTTAATGATCTAATGAAACACTATCTAGCCTCAATGCATGCCATTCCAAAGGCAAAAAAAACTGTTATTCCAAATAAATATAAGCTGAATAAAACATAAACCAAGCCAACGTGCATACACAACCAAAAAATGCATCAAAAAATACTTTTATCAGATCATACCCTTGGATATATTATGTATTTTATATATCGCACATCCCGTTCAAAAGTTTACTAACTCAAAATAGAGAATATAGAGAACATTGTCAGGAGAAGTAAAAGAAAATTTAAGTTAAGGCAATATGCTCCTTTTTGGATATTAATGGCCAAATAATATAATGTTGATTTAATAAAATTTTACTGGCATCCTTCTGAGGTATAAATCAGATTAAAAGGACATTGTTTTTGTAATAATTGTTTGTTTTGTAAACATTTTTTGAAGACAATACAGTTTTGAACGGGCTGTGCGATATAAACAAGGATCTTACTATTATTTGAGGTTAGAAAGTATTTAAATAACATAAAACATAATCAAAATCATTTGTCATCATAAATTATAGAGGTACTTACGTGTTTTGATATTATTATCAGGAAATAATACGTTTAGTTAAACAGGTACGCTGCCAGGCAAGTTCTATCGGCGGGTCTTTGCAAGAGTTGAAATCTAAAAATACAAAAATACGTTTACATCTTAGTTGTATTTACGAATAAAGTATTTGTGTGTAATTTCTGACTTACCAGTTAACTGAATAATCGCATTAAATACATCCAAATGGTAATTTAATATCGTAAAAAAGCAAAATTGTTTTAAATCACTTGCCAGGACAGCAGGACAGCCCGGCCAGCTTCTTTGTTGACAAAATGGCCGCGGTATCATGATTTAAGCAATGTGAGTGACAAAGAAAGCCAATGCCTGGCAGATGTTGCTTTCTTTGTCGTTGGTCCTGGCACTTTTAAATTTGACTGTTGCCTGTTTTCCCATACAAGTGACACCCCCGTGATATAAATAAACAAAATACGAGTAGCGGAAAGGGGGACCAAAAAACTCTATATATATATATATATATATATATATATATATATATATATATATATATATATATATATATTATATATATATATATATATATATGCTTATTCTCCGCATTAAGTTCATCAGACCGAAGGGAACAGCCATTCGACGACCGGTTTCGGAGATTTTTCTCCATCGTCAGGCCGACTTTGCTGTAACCCTCAATCTGACCAACGAAAAGCAGAGAATAGCATTTGAGTACAAAACGTACTACAATGGCGAGAGTGCTAGACGCTCTACGCCATCTAGCGGCAGCTGTGACAATCACAGATCGTACCGTCAAAATTAAACCGCACAGATCGTACCGCCGTGTTTTAAAATATTCTGAGGACGCCTGTGATATACGAAAACGGATTACCTATAGGTCCCTTAGACTCTTTTATGACGCCTTAGTCTGAACCCCTACGAGCTTTCAGAATAATTTCCAGTGCACCGGATACCTACTAGAAGTCCCAAAACAAATACGACTAAGATAAAATTAACCTTTCATTTGGCCGAAATGATTGTCTGCATCTACGTCACCAAGGATAAATGATTAGAGACATTATGTGTGTAAACTAGTGTTGAGGACAAGGGCATTATAATAAATTGTTATATACTGTAAAGAAATACTGGTAAAAATAAAAATAAACGATCTCAGCATTCTTTGATGTTTCAGAAGATTTTGTCGCCACCTTACAAATTACGGAAATAGGAGGTCGTGAACATTTTTTTTACTACACTGGTCTATCTTAGATAGATAGAAGTCTATCTATCTATCTATTGTGCCATATTATATTAAAGTATAATCTTCTTATAATATAATCTATGTTTAAGTAGTAGTAATCTATATATTTTAATACTGGTAAATGAATTTATAGTATAGTATGACCAAACCAAACCAAACATGCTTTTTATAACTACTACTGGGTAAATGAATTTCTTGTATAGTATGACTTTTTTTGAAGCTTTAGTTTCGGAGATATAAATTTAATCGGACCTTTTAAAAAAATTTTTTTTTTTTTTTTGAGAAACTATTTGAGATAGAGTTTACCAAAAATGCTTTTTATAACTACTACTGGGTAAATGAATTTCTGGTATAGTATGACTTTTTTTGAAGCTTTAGTTTCGGAGATATAAATTTAATCGGCCCTTTTAAAAAAATTATTTTTTTTTCAGAAACTATTTGAGAGAGAGTTTACCAAAAATGCTTTTTATAACTACTACTGGGTAAATGAATTTCTAGTATAGTATGACTTTTTTTGAAGCTTTAGTTTCGGAGATATAAATTTAATCGGCCCTTTTAAAAAAATAAATTATTAATTAATAGTGGCAATTGAACAATATGGATATTTTTTTGTATGGCGTATGACGTCACAGCTTATATTTCCCAACTTGATCGAAACTGGAGCCGCTATCGATAATACCTTGTTTTCTTTGTATCATGCTGGATGACAATGCTTCCACTTGACTCTGCGTCACTTCTTTCAAAAACAGAAAACAAATACGTATTTTCCTTTTAATGCGTAAAGTTACATTTCAATTTCCTGCAAAATAATTTTCCTATTTTTGAAATCTAAAAGTTTTCGAAACATATCGTCCCGAGAACAGCCATTCTTAAATATTTATTGTTCTAAAACAAGGCCAGTAAGATTCTTTTCAAATTTCCTCTATCTTTATAGTATGTGTTACTGAGATCCCCAAAGAATTCAATCTTAGTATAAGCACGTAATAAAAAGGCATAAAAAGGCGGTAAACTGTAAAGACGGCATTTGCAAAACGAGGCAGATTCTTGAATAAAATAGCAGATATCCTCTATAGTGATATCGAATGCTCCTTTGACTTGGCGTATCTTTAAAAAAGAAGGCATACCCAATTTTCTCCGAGATACTATTTAGGGTTTATTTTTGCAGATGGTGTAATACATATTTTGATACAAGTAGTGATATTTATTTCTCTATACAGATCGCAACTAGAATAGTAATTAATAAAAAGTAAATTTAGGAGACATTTTAAAAGTTAAGATTGTTGTGTTGTTGTGTTGCTGGGAACAATTCGTATTTTTAGTTATACCAGAATTTATATAAAATATCTTATATTTACTAAACATTTCTTGATGATTTTATAAAAATATGTTTGCTAGAGTGGGCGCGTATGAACTAATTTTAAGAAGGATCCAGGAGCGTCCTCAGTGACGCGACTGCATAGCAACCGAACATTGCTTGCGATTCGATAGAACGGTCGATAGAAATATGACCCCAAGCATGGATATTTTTATTTTAAGAGCGCTTGCACATACACCGGCAAAATCGGTGCCGGAGCCGGCGCCGGCTTTGCACACGTTCCGACAATTGCATTTAATCCTATTGTATTTGCCGGACGACGACTATTTTACCGGATCGGAGTATATGTGAAGGAGCTAATTCGTTTATATTGCAATCGATTGCAGGACCGGCACCGGCACCGATTTTGCTGGTATGTGTGAGAGCGCTCTAAAGGTTGTCGCCCACTAGACCGCGGCGCGACGCGGCGCGGCGCCATGTGGAAATTTCTTTTGTCTGCTTGCCATGTATTTAAATGGACCAACGCACATTAGAGCGCGCAGCGCAGAAGCGCGCCGCGGGATTTCCGTCAAGAAGTCGGAAGACTTCTCTAGCAACTTTTTTCCGTCTCCCGCGTTTCGGCGCGTGCAGTGTGCGTACTCACAAGGGAAATAATTTTGCATTCGAGTCTTTTCAGTTGGCTTTTTGACTAGGAACTAGTGATATGTATCAATGGCAGAATTGTATTTTTAAAGGTAAATTAGGCAAATCGATTTTCATAAAGGAATATGATATTTTTTTTAGTCTTCCCTCACTAGAGACAGATGGACGAAATGCCTTTCTATCAAAGATTTAATATAATTGAGGGGTGTAGAGGCAAAACTGGCAATCTCCACTTTTTAACAAAAGTGACAATCTCCAATTTTTAAATTCTAATTACCTAAATATATAAAAAAGATCAGGGTTTTTTTGACCACATAACTAATATACACATCAGAATAAATAAGAATTATCAAAAATATTAGTAATTTGTCTCTTCTGAAAAAATATGATGAGTAGATATACCCGGTGTTTTTTCTTCTAAAACCCTCAATTGAGGAGTGCGTAAAATGTTTCCTTTATATTTTGTAATACTGAAAAAAATGATTTTGTCTTTTATTAAATCTGGAAAAAGATGGTAAAATTCTCCAAACTTCTTTCTTTTTTTGTTAATCGTATGAGTCCAAACTTTTCCTCACCCCCTCTTCCTCTTCCTCTGTTAGAAGAGCACAAAAAATACGCTTTCGTCCGTACTTGAACTCATTGCTTTAAAAACTAAACTACAGTAAGTAAAAAACACTTCGACTATAACTAAATAGCGTTGCCGCGTTTCAAAAGCGCGCTATAGTGGGCGCAGTCCCTTCGCAGCCGGAAAAAAATCTCTTCACAGCGCCGCGCCGCGCCGCGTTCTAGTGGGCGACAACCTTAAGAGCGCTTTCACACACGCCGGCAAAATCAGTGCCGCAACCGTGTGCAAAGCCGGAGCTGGCTCCGGCACCGATTTTGCCGGTGTGTGTGCAAGCGCTCTAACGCTATAATAATTTCGAATTATTTCGCGCGGCACTGTCTAATGCGGAGAGGCGTTCATCTACAAAATATTGATGACGCTCTTGGCTCCTTAAAATGCTGCCACTATACATTATAGGACACGATAATAATTTTACATCCAATATTATAATAATTGATAATAATTAGACAAAAATATAGTGCAGTTGCACATCAAAAACATTTTATTTATACTTTGCAAAACGCAATACTAATTATAACATTCCGTTTATATACTTAATTAGTTGATTTTTCGTAATACCCAAATCTTCAAAAATAAATATTATAATTTCAACTTCAACTTGACTAAAAAATATTCCAAATAAATGTAAAATATTGTTAAATCATTAATGAGAAATTTATTTCAGATGAAAAATGAAAATATGAGAAATTACAAAAAAAAAATATTATATTAAAGAAAAATACACTTCCCCAATAAATTAACGCACCACAAAAAAATAACCAAAAGTTTAAGTTAAGTTTTTGTCAAAACCACTTATCCGATTTGGACGATTTTTTTTTGAATGATAGGTTATTCTTTCCACAATGTTGCTATACTAACGGTATTTTGATAGGAACCCTTTTTATACTAATACCGGGTGTAGCAATTATAACGTGTTTTTTTAATAAAATTTGTGACACCCTGTAGAGTTGCTCAGTTATAGTATCAAGTTGAAATTGAAATCACATTTTAGCCTTATCTTTTTTTTACATTTTGTTTTTTTATTTACTCCATTATCTTCCTTATTACACGAGAAACAACATTTTATAGGATGACATGATTTAATATTGGTTTTAATTAACATTTTTCCATTTTACTCACTAAAGTAAGTAGCAGGCTATGGAAAACACGGATTACCAGTAAATGTCAAATAGAGATGCTTGTTGTCAGTGTCAGTCGTTTTCGTCCTTTTATTATATCAAAAATATGCAACGTGCACGTGAAACAAGAAATCTTACTGGCAAAGAATGTTCTGAGGAAGGTTGGAGCTACCGAAGAATTGGTGAACGATTTAATGTAACTCACTCGACCATTTCACGAGTTATACAACGGTATAGAGATACTGGGAGTAATTGTCGCAGGCCGGGACAAGGCAGGAATCGAAGAACCAATCCGATTCAGGAACGTTTTTTAAAACTCTCAACATTAAGAAAACGTTTCGTAAAGACTCGGACCCTTCAAACTCAGCTCAGAGATACTAATGGTCTACAAGTTTGCACAGAAACTAGCATCTCTATTTGACATTTACTGGTAATCCGTGTTTTTACATAGCCTGCTACTTAGTTTAGTGAGTAAAATGGAAAAATGTTAATTAAAACCAGTATTAAATCATGTCATCCTATAAAATGTTGTTTCTCGTGTAATAAGGAAGATAATGGAGTAAATAAAGAAACAAAATGTAAAAAAAAGATAAGGCTAAAATGTGATTTCAATTTTAACTTGATACTATAACTGAGCAACTCTACAGGGTGTCACAAATTTTATTAAAAAAACACGTTATAATTGCTACACCCGGTATTAGTATAAAAAGGGTTCCTATCAAAATACAGTTAGTATAGCAACATTGTGGAAAGAATAACCTATCATTCAAAAAAAAATCGTCCAAATCGGATAAGTGGTTTTGACAAAAACTTAACTTAAACTTTTGGTTATTTTTTTGTGGTGCGTTAATTTATTGGGGAAGTGTATAACTAACACTACTAACTCAAATCGCTAGATACAATATCAGATTCGTAAATAATAAAATTATGTCAACCACAGCATATATCTAAGTGTATAGTTCGAACTATTATATTTATGTATTTCCGGGAGTGGTAGAGATACATATTGATTCTAACCGCAAATAGATCGAGGTTGTCGGTCATAATTTTGCATTATTGCAGCAACAAGACGTTTTAAATTAAAGATTACTATCAACTCTCTACCTATTTCTTCACTATCAACTATTTTATTAGTGACTTAGTAGTAAGGCCGCAGTACTGATTTCGAAAATAATATGTTTTTACTATTAAATACATTGGGCAAGCGTTACCTACGTCATCATTATTTATATAATATAAGTATAATATGTTTTATGCTGATTCTGAGACAAGTTGATACTACGAGGCATGTTTTTTAAGTAAGTACCGTTTTGCGATTCCGCCGCCGCAGCGCTACGGTCGGCGTTCCGCGCATGCGCGCTGGTTACCTGCATCTCTTGTCTATGCACAGACGCCAGTACAGTCTGATTCTTCATTGTATACGTTGTTTATTGAGTGTTTAAGATGCCTCCGACAATCGTGAGCCCCGCCGATTGTGAAGTACGGGCTGTCATACGATTTCTTAGTGCTAAAGGCGTAAAACCGATCGATATTCATCGTGAGATCTGTGAAGTTTACGGACAAACCATTATGAGTGATGGAATGGTAAGGAAAAGGGTGAGAGCATTTAAAGATGGCCGCACAAATGTGCATGATGAAGAACGGAGTGGGCGTCCTTCGGTCGTTAATGAAGATTCGGTGCAGAAAGTGGACAAAGAGGTGAAAGAAAACAGACGCTTTACAATTTCATCATTGTGCGACTACTTTCCTCAATGTTCTCGTAGTGTTTTGTATCGCATTGTGACCGAGAACTTGAATTACCGGAAATTGTGTTCACGTTGGGTTCCGAAAATGTTGATGGATTTGCACAAAACCCAACGTTTAGGCAGTGCATTGACTTTCCTTGAGCAGTACCACAATGAAGGTGAAGATTTTTTAGACAAAATTGTTACTGGTGACGAAACATGGGTGGCCTACGAAACACCAGAATCGAAACAACAGTCCATGGAATGGCGACATTCATCATCACCCAAAACAGTGAAGTTTAAGCAAACAATTTCTGCCCGGAGAATCATGTGCAGTTTTTTGGGACAGAAAAGGAGTATTGCTAGTGGAGTTTCTGCCTCGTAATGAGACAATCAAGGCAGCATCTTATTGTGAGACATTGAACAATCTGCGCCGTGCAATCCAAAACAAAAGACGTGGCAAGTTGAGTAAGGGTATTGTTTTGCTGCATGATAATGTCCGTCCACATGTGGCTAATCGGACCAAAGATCTCATCAAATCTTTTAAATGGGAAACTCTAGATCATCCTCCATACAGCCCTGATCTGGCGCCCAGTGACTACCATTTATTCTTGCACTTGAAGAAACACCTGGGCGGTCAGCGTCTTCAAGACGATAACGAAGTCAAAACAGTTGTGATACAGTGGTTAACCAGTCAGGCGGCAGAATTTTATGAGGAGGGTATTGAAAAACTGGTGCCACGTTATGACAAGTGCCTCAATATTCACGGAAATTATGTAGAAAAGTAGATTAAGGTACAGGCTTTCATGTAAAAATAAAATTATTGCGATATCTTTGCACGTTTTTTTTAATTCCAAAACGGTACTTACTTAAAAAACATCTAGTATTTAGAAAATTTTAAGTATTCCTTAGAAATTATTAATTGGGCGAATTCCGTTTTTATTTTTGTTAATCTTAAGTTGGTATGTAAGGGATTTTCATTCATTTTGATTGTGTTGGTAGTAGGATTTTCAGAACCGGAGCTGTTTTTCGGAAACGGGAATTTCATTTCCGTGCCTCTTAGGAACCGGGATTTCCTGGTTTTTTTTCGGTACTTACTACTTTTTATTCAAACATAGCACAGTCCATCAATCAGAATTTGTTGAAATGAAAATAATATCAAATTATTAAGTAATCAGTCATGAGTAAATTAAGATGAACACAAATAAACACAAGCGAAGAGAAAAAACAAACAAAAAAAACATATGTAACTAAAATTTTACATCAAACAATATAAACTGAATTAATTAATTAGGTGTAGTTCAACAATGAGAAAGCAAGGGATGGGTGTCCACAGTAAAATCGACAAATTGAGTTTAAAATGAAAATAATATTAAATTTTTAAAATGGAAATAATATCAACACTAATGAATACAAGCAACAATATAAATCAGTTTAACTAAATTAAAAAAAAAAACATTTTCAATTAAACATGCCTAATTTAGTAATACATTTTGCAACATTATGCGAAATAACAAGATAACATATTTAAACTTCAATAATTACTAACAAACATTAAAGGAACTTTAGAAGTGAGAACGGTAAGAAATCGCATTACTCTTTATTTAAAACAGTTTGATTTCGACCACTAGAAAGTATCAATGGACTTTCGCATGTAACAAAAAATGTTTTTTAATCATTGTTACCGAGTCCCGAAAGTACCGAAACAACTGAGAATTAATTTTTTTTAGATGCCTCAAAAGAACCGAGAATTCTCAGTACTAAATATATTTCAACATGCAATAAAGTATTTGATGGTAATACTCGAATAACTATAAAAGGCGATACACTTACCGTATAATCTAATATTACTTTCCACATCTCCAAGTGAGTTTTTGGCTATACACCTGTAAGATCCTATGTCTTCTTTTTGAAGGTTTCTAACTATAACTGTCATTTTTACTTCAAATGATGATTTGCTAACAGTCTGAACGTCGTACTTATTACTTGATATTACCATCTCTTCTGAAACAAGATTATCTTATTAATTGCGTATTTTAATGGTAACCTAAATCTTGTGTAAATAAGGCTGAGCTTACTAAGAAATAAGTAGTTTCTAAAGAATTATTACAACATCTAGATCGGAAATTTCTTGTACATCATGAGATCTATATTATAAAAATATTTTCATTATGGCAGCACTTTCGGAATTATGCCTATTTTTTATTACATACTTCAATTCTCTGTAAAATTTAATGAATATTGATATCAAACAATGTTTTGAAAAAATTTTATACATTTTTTGGAGGAAAAAAACTCCCTTTTAAAAAAGTTTTATAGCCTAAACGCCAAATAAGGGATTCTAATAATCAGTGTGACATAAAGATGCTAGACTATCTAGTTTAAAAATTAATTTGTTCGAATGAGATACAAACCTCGGAATTCATTTACTGTGAACGAATTTTTATAAAACTTTTTGCATTGTATTGTTAATAAGATATATTACAAAGTTTACCTATTTAAATTCGTTGCTTTCACTTCAATATTTAAATAAACATACACATATACAAATGCATACATACAAGATGGCTCCGTTTTCCGGAAAAGCTCTGTATCAGGATTCCTATTTGAGATTTTCACTCCAAACCTTTTACAAAATATATGTTTAATAGTAGTTGACATTTCATAAATATTTTTATAGATATACAGGGTGAGTCAAATATATATCATTTATTTATTCGAGTTTAGTGAATTTGCTATAAAATTCTGGTTCAAAAAATACCTTAATACCATAGAGTAGGTATATTAAATGGTATTTGAATTAAGACTACGTCCATGAGGACGTCAATATAGACGTCCAGGAACCTTCGTATGAAAGCTTCTAATCGAGACGATCGACTTATTGTAAGTTTATCGCTAAGAAACCGCCGTTTGCCAGCTTTTCAAATTGATAATGAATTGCACTTAAGAACCGTACATATTAACTAACGGACTACAAGTAGAAGATTAAATAAAGCAAATCTTATGTCAAGAAGGCCTGCTTCGGGACCAGAACTTACTAGATGTGTTGACTAGGCCCAAAAGCAAAGGCATGGTCTTAATGTAAAAATTACGAAAAATGTTAGTGCCTTTTTTAAAACCGAATATTTCCAATAAAAATAAAGCTAATGAGATGAACCAAAAAACAAACCATCGCGAAAGGATGTATCTAGATGATAAAATAATTTTTAAATTTCTGGCTGTTTTAATATATTTCACAGGGTGTTTTAAACTTTCATCAAAAATATCAACATTTTGTTTTCCCTCGTATAATTAACAGATCGGGAATTTCATTTTTAATTTAGAAAAAGATACTAAGAAGTCAAATAATTTGACAACACACTACTTAAAAAATCATCAAAATTGGCCCATTAAAATAAAATATATTAACCTTTAAAATATATCAAAGTTTTAAGGTGCCCATTTTTCGTGCCGGTGAATGTATTTCAAAAACTATACAAAAATCAATTAATATATAGGGTGTTCCATTACAAAAAACATAACTTTGATGTGTAACTTTTTTTGGGGACACCCTGTAGAACTATACATAATTTTAGAAAATGCTTTAAATTGACTTACATAAGCTCACAAAATTTCACTTCAATACAAACTTTTGTTCTCCTTGCAAAAACCGCGTCGTATATAACGCGCCACACTGTATAATTCGATTTCAATCAAAATGTCAATGATTAGAATATAAGCAGAATAGGTATAGCTTTTGCATTAGATTTATTTATTTTAATAAATTTACTTAGAAAAAGAATTAAAAAAATCAAAATATTAAGAAGGAAATAATTAAGAATTTACTAAAATTACTAAAATAAAAAATTAAAAGCAACGAAAAAAAAATGAGTAAATATTTTAGTATTTTATCTATAAAACACAATACAGAAGGTTTAACATTAATACATTCACAGTAATTGAATTCCGAGGTAAAACTCTCTGGGCACTCCACTATATTTTATAACCGTCACACTCCTTCGAAGCACTCTGTATACTCCAAAACAGTTTTAAATTGTGTCTTAACTTTATCTAAAACGTTTCTATTTAGCAATTTTTTACAATTCTCAAAACAAATGAAATGATGTATTGTACAAAAATAAATATGAATTTAATTAATTATATAAATTAGAGATGAGCAAAACTGCGATTTTCCAATCGCAATTGAAACTGCGATTGTGATTTATAAATCGCTGCGACTGTAACCTGCGATTGCGATTTTGATATTTTTAAATTGGTACGCTGTAATCTGGGAAGCTCAATCCCAAAATTTCTAATAAAAAACAGAATAAATAGCGGAATAATTTTTTTTTAAGAAACTGTTGGGTGTTTCGATGCTATGTGCCTTTTAAAATTTGTAGTGCGTGTTTTTTATGATATTTTTGCTGCACACATATTGCACTTAAAATTTACATCAATTACTTACCAAAAAAAAAATCCACAAATAACTTAGTTTCTTTTTTTTAAACATTTTTGATTAGAACAGACCGAATAAATTTAAAAGGGAAATTAAAAATACATAAAATGTTCAAAATATTCGAATGTGCTTTTAGACAGTAGGTATACTAACGAAAAATTTATTATAAAAAAGGTTGCCGCCAACCTTAATTCAGATAACTAGAAAAAAAAACTGTTTATTTTATCTTGTTTTCTTTTAAAAACATTTTCTTTATATGTAACTCAAAAGAAGCCGACGCCGACGGCTTTGATACGGCCCGTCCAGTGCAAGTGCAAACTTTCGAACTTTTAGATAAATAAAAGGACAATATCACATTTTATTATATTTACAATTTCTCTAAAATGATAAAACTGATTGTAAAGGATGTATTTAAATTAACATAGCAGCCGATTCACAACTGTTAGTATATTCAGAAAATTATATTATATTATGGATTGTTATAAAAATGTTTATAATAATATAATATATAACAAAATATAATAAATAAAAAGGGCTGTTTCTTTTCCGTGTTCTATATCTTCTAGTCAATAAAGGATAAAAATAGATAATTTTTTATAATTTGAATCCAAAACTGTCCTTATGAATCATTTTACCTGAATCATTACCTGGGAGCAACTGTAACTATAATTAGTCATAACCGAAAACAAGAATTTTTTAACCTTCTCAATCCATAATTATATTATAAATCTGAAACTATTATCAAAATTTAAAACTAATAAATTATATATATTATGCGGTATATAAACATATATAAGCCTATTTTCCAACGCTTCATAAAAATTACGGGGCCCTGATTGCGAATGTGATTTTGCGATCTAGTCTAGGCCGATGTATTGGGAGCTGCGAACGAAAATCGCAATCGCCGCTCTTCGTTGGCGTGCCCACTCCCGATGCCGCGCCGGTGCCAACGAAAATCGCAATCGCAATGCTGGGATGAGCTGCGATTTTCGTTCAGCTCCTCGTTCGCCTGTCCACTGCCGTGTTGAAGACGCGCCGCCGCCGGCCGGGCGTACGAGAATCGCAATATTGCGATTTTCGTTCGCAGCTCATCGTTCGGCTTCTCAGTGCCGTGTCGATGCAACGCCGGTGCGAACGAAAATCGCAATGCTGTGATTTTCGTTCGCAGCTCTTCGTTCGCGTGCCCACTGCGATTGCAAATCGCAACTGGTGTAATATTGGTTGCCTAAAAATCCAAAATCGGCAGATATATGTTTCAATCGCAAGTCGCAGTTTGCTATGGAAAGGAATCACAGGTTGCGATTGCGAATTTACAATCGCTGCGATTAAATCGCAGTTTGCGATTTTCTGCTCATCTCTAATATAAATATTTATGTAGATGCATTTTTATTAAAACCATTTGTTTTTTCCATAAATATATTCGGATCAATACGCGTCTCTATAAAATACTGAAATAATTTTTCACAAATCATAAAACACTCAATTTAGCTGCATCTATTTTAACGAATATATTTAAATATCTGATGGCGTTGAATTGTTAGGTCAGGTGTATACGTATTTTATATTTTTATCGCAATGCATACATAATTATTAACATCAATAATATGCTCACTTGCAAATTGAACATAACAAATTTTATCGCTGTGTATGGCGTACGATTATACAGATTTACTAGTCTAGAGCATATGTAATTAGATCGGTAGTTAACCAGTAATAAATTCAGGAAACAGAATAGTTTATTCGAATTTTGATTATATATTCAAATATTAGATATAATAATAGATTCGCATAAATGGCTGAATATGCCAATCCATATTTATTAGTTTTAAATTAAGTAATTACGATTAATAACTTGGCTGGTAAACATTTACACTTAATTTTGATTTGAACATTTTGCATAATTAGTAAAATATTGTTTCGCAGAATTAAAACCAGAAACAGTATTTTATGTTTTGTATTTGTTTGTTGATATAGGGGAAAGTCGCCGATATAGTACAGGATCCTAAACGCGGGTAACACCTTGTGTGATATTATCCAAAGAGGACTCCGCATCGCTGAGAGATGATGCAGGATGCAGAACTGTCGGGCTTAGCACCAATTTAGAGAAAACCGTGGTAGTGCCATTCACAAGAAAGCGAAGTCTGAAAAACTTGAAAATAATTCATATAGATGGAAAGGAAGGGACTTTAGATGAAATTTCGACGCAGCGCCATCTATCCCTCTATACTGGCAGAAACTCCACCGTGTTTCCAAAATTCAAATGGGAGTTTCCTCCACCTGGTTAGCACCTTAAAAATTATTTAGAATCATAAGAAAAAGATCCCCTTCTAAAAACACGCGGATTTTGGTGGCTATAAGTAAACTATTTTAATTAGCAATTTAGTTTCTGACATACAGCCGGCCGGCGTACATTCTTAGTTACAATACAGTACATGATGTTATTTGCAAAGTTCTCAAAAAAGGTTTGTTTTAGTGTCGAATTTTAGTCGATCAAGAGCTATTCTAATGATATATGAAGTTTTAAGCTGCCTGGAGGACACTACCCACTAAACATCACCCCCTCGCTCCT